TTTTATTCAAGAAATCTGATTATTCGATAAATTTTAATAGTGTAATGTTAATATAGTACTAAATAACATATAAATTTTGAAGTTGGTACATCTTGAAATATTTTTTTTTCAGATATAAAAAACATAAGCTAAATTAAATTTTGCAAGTTCTTGTTTTTGTCTTTGTACGTAACTTGTAACAAGAATTAACTAATATCAAGTTACAACCAAACATAATCAAATTGCAAAAAAGGAGAGCATTAATATCATGTTGACATGATAATAAATATTTTGAAATCAATCTTATCGAGTTCATGTTAGTTCCCACAATTTTTGCCAAATACAATTTTGATCTTCTAAACACGATGACTATCATCATCCACAAACTGATTCTTGCTCAAGTAAGGACACGGTGCAGGCCAAGCTGCTCACAGCCTGAGACCAAAATGAAGTCCAAACCAAGTCACTTCACTTTACTTGCATAATGAAGTGATGTGCAGAAGCTATCACACAGTCTTGGATAAGGAAAAGAAGCATCAAGCAAAGATTTTCAACAACTTAAGCTTGATTGCCAAGAAAATTTCCACTTACTACCAACACTTCATACTAATATAAGAAAGGTGACACGAAATAAAGGTTCTCAATAAAAACAATAAACGATGTTTGATTTTCCAGCATCTACCTGACAGCAATTTTACGAAATGATAGTATACAATTACCCAAAAATCAATCACAAATTAATGTTCATCAAACAAAATTCACCATGAATAAAGAAGAGTTTTTGTCCTAAGAAAATAACTATACAGAGTCACAAGTCAAAATCCACATGGTCAATTTCCACGAGCATAAGGAGCTGCATTGTGCTAAACATACACAAATCAGTACAATGCTTTATCGTCCCAAAGAAAGTAATTAGATGCATAAAACTCAGGAAATGTCCACCAAAGCTTTAAATACTACCTATGAATAGATGTACCTCCAAATTTCAGTAGCCAGTCTAGGGAGATTTGAGTTCTTATTTTCAAAGGAGAAAATTGTAGCATCTCAGCACTATCTACAGGTTGGATTGATGAACGATGACACACTATATACTAATATGATCACATCACTGTAACTATCCCAAAATATCACCAAGATTACCAAAAATCTTGATACAAAAAAGTTCATCCAACATTAAAATTGCTCAAAGAAATAAAATGTATTAAATACAAAATTACATCATTCCATATTTCAGTACAAAAAGCCTGTGATCCACCAGCACTAAAAATGCTCTACAGCTTCATTTACATCAAGCTAAATACAATTACAAGAACATGAACATCCTAGAGTTAAATTAAATGGATACCCACATATGTATTAAGTTGCCGAACAAAACTTGAAAAATTGTTGTGCTTGAAATTCCTTGGCAAAACAATCCTAGCAAATTCCACAAGATTCCACACAACAAATATGTCACCCTTTGCTCCACAAGAAATTATAGAATCCAATGAAGGATCATCCACCAAATCGAAACTCTTGGACAAGAATGGAAGAATTGGGGTCTCATGCAAGCATTCCATAGGTTGTGGCATACCGAATAAATCCCCAAAACCACCTACAGTATTTGGAGCTGCAGCTTCTCCAATTGGAACACCTTTGAATTCAAATTGGGGTGGAAAAGAATCAGATATTTTTAAAGGTGGGGCTCTGGCGATTTAGGAAATGGAGGTACCACTGAAAAATCCCCAGAACCACATACAGTATTCGGAGTTACAGTAAATTGAAGGCTTTCAAGATCACAACCGCAAGCATAAAGAAATGAATTCTAAAGGCAGTCAATCTCTTCTTGTACAAAATATTAATCCAAATAGCAGCCAGCATAAAATACACAATAAAAAAGAAGCAAATAAACCCGTGGTAAAATTGTATTTTCCTGAAGAATTTGGGCCCCATATGCAGAATCATGTTGTATATCTCTATTAAATTCAAAATTTTGAGATCCCCATGAAGGCACCGAGGTTAAAATTCAAACCTTTATGTAAAATTGGCATTGACCCATGGTTGGGCAAGGTGCACCGGTGGAGAGGAGGCTAACCTATGTGGTCCACGATCGTGGGACGGCCGGATGGAGCCGGAATTTGCAAAACTCGGACCCTATTGCGCGGACTTCGCCACTGACATTCTTCTGGGAAGAAATCTGAACATTGCGGGGTTGGAGGTGATAGAGGAGAGTGAGACAAGGTTGTTGTTGGTGTAATCCGGCGGTGAGGCGAGGTTGTTCCTGCTGATTCTTCCAATTGGTGGTGGAATGATGGGAGGCAGGGGCGGACCCAGGCTTTTTATGTTGGGGGCACAATCAAACTTTCAAAAAGTAACGGAAAAATTAAAGTAAAGTTCCGTGAAATTATTTCATAGAAGTTCATTGCTATTCGTTTTTATAACACAAAATGAGTTACTACTAATAAATGGTAACTAATATTAACCTAGGCTTTATGTAGCTTACCTTCTTTTTGACGGACAGGTACGAGCATGAGAACACTTGAAATAAGCTCTTGGACAAGGGTTGTCTTTAGTCACCTTCTGTCCATATTTCCTCCATTGATATCCATCCTTAACAATCTGCAGTTTTAATATACAATAATTCATCAAGAAACCACGATTCCAAAGTCCGTGTCCTCACTAACAATTGAAGATTTTAGACTAGATGGTTCGACACAATCAACGTTGACTTACAAGGCTTGTATCAGATGCTTGTGTTTGAACGAAAACCCGCGAAATTTTTGCTTTGATGTGTTCTTCTTTTAGTTTCTTTCATGATTCTTCATCACTAGGCTGCTCTCGGAAGCTGAGCCATTGATTTCAGTTTTCCTTTTTCTTGATGCTGCTGTGTTATCCATTGATGGATTGTTGGTTTTATACTCCATTAATCTACTTTGCAATTCATTGTAATTTTCACACACTACTGTTAACATTTCTTTGAGCCTCTTATTTTCAGCACTAACTCGGATTAGTTCATCTATCAAAGCACTTCTCTGTATAAAAACATGAAAAGAAAATATTCAATGTTCATCAAGAAAATCTGTTGAAAATAAAGGAATGATGACAATTGA